GATTAAATGTTGTGACTTAGAAATATGTATGGTATAAGGTATACCATTCGTTTATTTGTTTCCAACTAGATTTTAAAAATTTGGAACTAGTTGCAAAAGTAGTTAAAAAGCATCAACACACAGTAAAGTAGAATTTTTATTGCCTCTATCATTTTTATTTTTGATTTCAGCTGGTGGATTTTGTAAAAGCCTAGATATTGTTTTATCCATTTAATACTTAAATTCTCTTAATTGATTTAAGGTTACATAATCCCTTATTAGAAGGATTTAGGTATCTGCAATTTTCCTGAAAATTGACAGTTTCACAAATTACATTTAAACAATCCTTTTTAGCATTAAAACTTCACAACTAATAGCTACTAGTAAAGATAAATTATCAATAAATGTAGTTATTGTCTTATCGATTAATTTTACTATACCGTAAGTGGTTTGATGTGGAAAAAGGGGGCGTGGAAATTCTTTTAGTGCAGTTGCATTGGACGCCGTCTATTAAAATAAATGTATTTAAGGATATTTTTTATTAACTCGTTATCTCAAAATGTTATCTAGCAAAATAAACCCGCCCTAAGTACTTTTTCACTGTTTGGTTTACACCTGTTTGTACTTATAAGTGTACAAATGTCGATTAAGTGTTTGCGTTGTACTCGCAGTACAGTAGACTGTTTACTGTACTTAAATTATCATTAAACGCTAAGTGCAAGTGACCTTACGTATGCAACGTAACTTTTTTTAAAAATCAATATGTTCGTTCTTGCGAAGATAAGAAAATTAAATATTTAAGTATGTACACGGTTTATGATCCAACAGCATTGTCCAATTCACTTCCAAATTAAACCGGTCAAGTTTTACAATTGGTATCACTCTTATGTCAATGGTAATGAGTTTTTCGTATTAAATAAAACGGAAGCGATATTGACAAAACAGTACAGTATGAAAATAAATAAAAGTAAAACAAAATACTGGTATGCAAAGGAAGAAAAAGTAGGGAAAAAGCGACTATAAAGATAGGAGACGAAAAATTAGAAGAAGTGGCTGATTTTAGGTATCTAGGAAGGCAGATAAGACAGGACGAAAGGAGTATTATGGATATAAAACAGAGGATAGCGCAGGTCCGAGTTGCCTTCAATAAAAAGAAGTCACTTCTATGCTCGCGAACGGTTAATTTAGAAATTCGAAAAAGGTTGTTAAAGGTGTATGTTTGGAGCACGACCCTGTACAGGTGCGAAACATGGACAGTGGGCGCGGCGGGATAGAAAAGGTTAGAATCGTTCGAAATGTGGTGTTATAGGCGAATGATGAGGATACCGTGGATAGAGAAGGTTCGAATTGAAGAGGCATTAGAAAGAATAGGAGAATAGAGGACACTATGGAAGTCAACAAGAAATAGGCGAGATAGGTTGGTAGGACACTTTCTCAGGCATGAAGGTCTAGTCAAAGACATATTAGAGGCAGAAACGGGAGTTAGGAGGGGTAGAGGTAGACCTAAATTAGATTATTTTTCGCAAATAGTTAAGGATATGGGTTGTATTAGTTTTTAGCAAATGCGAAGATTAGTTCGTGGTAGGAAAGAGTGGAGGTGCGTGTCCAACCAGTTTTAGGACTGACGACCGTATGAAGATGATGGTATTAATATGTTTTCTCCGGCTATTTACAGATATTAGGAAGTTCCTGGTGTAGGTAGGCCTTATACCTTATTTATTGTCTTTCAACCCTCTAATTGCATAATAAGGGTATGAAAATACATAAATAGTAAGAATAATAAAATTAGTTTGGTAATTAACAACAATCATTATAGGTATTAGGTAAGGATAAAGCTAAACTAATCCTTTTCGGAAAATAACAGGTATATATAATCTAAAATATGATTCTGGTCTATGTTACGTAGCTCTATGTGGTAGTATACGAGAAAGTGCCCAAAAAAGAGATACTACCAGAAGGTATTTTCATCATTAATACCCATTCTGTATGAGGATAGTTCTAGACATTCGACAACGATAGAAATATTCAATAACATTCTGGTCTATTCTAAACTAATCCACACATCACCAAACTAGAGAATTTGGGACATTATAGGAGACTTCAAACACTGTTTAGAAATATGAAAATGCCCTAGGTGCCCAGGTCGACCACTTTTAACCACCAAATCTCTCACATTTTCGTAGTTACAAACACCTGTAGTCTGTGTTAGGTAGTTGTTATTGCAAAGTGAAATTTCAATTAAATATATTGATTAATAAATAATATAACGACAATAAGTGAATTGAGTTGTCATACGCATGGAAAATATACTGAGCGAGAGTGCATACATATAAAGTGCAGTCAGTTAACATATCTTTTTATTACCTACGTACACTTCCTACCGTACTTGAGATAATTACGATATGTTGAAATTTGTAAAGTGTTTGTGAACTAACTGCAATAAAAGTATCACTGGAAACACGTTGGAAAACAATTAAATTATACGTATTATATTTATTATTGATTTTTAAGATAAATTGCATAGGTACGATTATAAGGTTTTGCCCGTAACTTCGTGCTCGTTGATCACTGAAATACATACAGGTCTACTACAACTATTTAATTCGTAAAGGTATCATCCGATCGAGTGACCCGATTAAGATGAAATAAAAATAAATATTATCATTATTGACTACGTTTTTCTAAAAACTCAATTCGAATTAGGTCAGTAGTTTTCACGTGATACGTGGACAAACAGACAACTCGACAAGAATTACAGAGATGACTTTAATACATTACATCATTAATCCTTCCTCTCGTAATTTAAAATTTGCGGTTTTATTGATACACATATTTTGATATTAAAGAGTAACCATTATTTAATCGTCATCAGCAGGTAGTTATAGAGCTGGGACTGCAACGTAGATAAGTAAATATTAGGAAGGGAGTCAGACAGGGATGCGCACTAAAGACAGTACAACTGTAGGGATAGATATAGAGGGGCAAAAGATTTTCACATGATATAGCAGTATTAGCATCTAGCAAGGAGGAATTACAGATAGCTTTAAATAAAATGGTTGCGGTATTGACAAAACAGTACTGCATGAAAATAAATAAAAGTAAAACAAAAATAGTGGTATGCAAGGGAAGAAACAGTAGGGAAAGAGCGAATATAAAGATAGGAGACGAAAAATTAGAAGATGAGGCTGATTTTAGGTATCTAGGAAGTGAGATAAGTCAGGACGGAAAGAGTAGTAGGGATATAAAGCAGATCATAGAGCAGGGTCGTGTCGCCTTCAATAAAAAGAAGTTCTTCTATGCTCGCGAAAGGTTAATTTAGAAATTCGAAAAAGGTTGTTAAAGGTGTCAAACATGGACAGTGAGCGCGGCGGAAAAGAAAAGGTTAAAAGCGTTTTACAGGAATAGGAGAACTCAGGACTCTATGAAAGTCAAAAAGAAATAGACAAGATAGGTTGGTAGGACAGCTTCTCATGCATGAAGGTCTAGTCAGAGACGTATTAGAGGCAGAAACAGGAATTAAGAGGGGTAGAGGTAGACCTAGATTAGATTACTGTTCGCAAATAATTAAGGATGCGGGTTGTTCTAGTTTTAGGGAAATGTGGAGATTAGGTTTTTTTTCATGCTTTGCTAGGTAACGCCCAAATGTGCTCCTTTTTTAACTTCATTCATGTTCAGCTACATTAACCGATCCTAACTAGCTATTATGAATAAAATCTAGACCAATTTATCAAATGTCTACACAATTTAGTCAGTTTATATAATGTTGAGTCCTTAAGTAGGTGTAAACTTTATTCACTCACTCATGAGCCGTAAGACCAGTTGTTCCGCACCCTCTAACAATTAAAATATAGATATCTCCTAAGTTTAGTTAGTGCCTTTAGCTTCTTGCATTCGTTTTTATTTCGATAAATTCTCACATTATTATGATAAAAACAAACGTCAGTCTTAATAGATTACTTTTCACGATTGATTTGTTGTTTTGCTAGCATCTACAATAAATAAAAACAAATACGTTATTGATAAATATTTTGTTGATTTAATTTATGCACGGAAATACCATTAACGCATTTCATTTTTCGATATGCCATAAATTAAGTGTAAGTCTAGGATGTTTAGCTAACTATAAACACAATATAATGAGACACCGGATGTATTCAGGTATCTTGTTTGTGAAAAATAAAAAAAATAGATAGAAAGTAACAATTTTCGAAACTGGTAGATTCCTACAAGTCAAAATTTATTTTCGTCATTGACCAATTCATTTGAAATATAAGAGAAAGTATGTAGGTTTTTCAGTGTTTTCGTGTCATTATTTTAAATTTCATGCACCGTCAGTTCAAACATTAAATCAACATAAATACACATTATGTCAATTATTATTAATGATCACATAATGTACTTATTAACTTCGTTTTGTATGCAATATGGAAGATTATTATTATTTAAGATGCCATAACGACTTAATTAGATTACGTCTGATAACAAAGACATAGTCCACATAATCATAGACAAAAGTGTCGTTTTTATAAAAACATTGACTATGCTAATTTAATAAGAAATGCACACTTATGAAACGTTCTTGATTGACGCAAAAAGTATGCCATTTGTGCCACAGGAAACTACTATTAACTCCATGTATTAATTGAATCTTCCAACTATTACCGATGAGTGTTATATGAAATCTGTAGGTACTTACTATTTAAATCTTCAAGCATCACACTTCACTGACCGTAGGGCTTCAATTTTATTTATTTTACGCACTTATTGTAATTAAATCATTGTTTTATTAAAACCAGTGTTGAATTAATAAATCACATTTTATTTCTGAACTTAATGTTATGTGCAATAAAATTCAACAAATTGCTCCTCAAAAAGGTAACTATGTACAAAGGCGATGGAAAAGCAGAAATAAATTTACAAATTTTTTGACAATTGATAAATCATGCTTTGTACATTTTGCAAAAAAATGAAAAATTCGAAAAAGCGCCTCGCGGCGAGAAATAAAAATAAAGCAGACATTCTTGGAAAGTATCTTACAAAAGTTTTTTATTTGTACATAATAGTAGTTTATCTATAACTAATCGTAAGAAAATCACAGAGTAAAAAATCATTCATAAAAAACATCATCCCATAAATTTGTGACGTAATATACAATTTTCTCTACAGCGCCACAACGTAAATTAAACCTTCAAACACCCTGTAAATCATACAAACAATAAAATAAACCTATTAACAATTGCAACTGAAACAGGTACATCACTAGATCCAGAACACTCCCTCTTCTCGTTTCCGATCCATTTTTTCCTTCCCTCTTGAAAATAAACCCATTTTTATAATTCGAGTTATGCTCGCCCTTCATAAATACGAATATTCTCAGTCGAAGTCTACATTCTAAATGAGGTGAAATATTACAGTTCAATAGATTAACTGCTCGTCCCTGTCGATTGTTGGCGACCAACCGGAATGGACACTACCATTAAAACATGGAAGTTTGCGAAATTTAACAGGTAACTGACATCGTCTCTGAAGTTGATGATATTTTATCTTGCGTCTGTAACAAGAACAAATACATTTTTTACAAACGACATTTTCGAAAGCAAAAGTTCAATACAATTTATCATCCATCTGTCGATTTAACAATAGGCTGGACTGTAACCCGCGTAAAATGAGATTGGCTTCTCGATGCAGCTGTGGGAAGATATTATGATTCGATATAATCCAAGACACGATTGTGAAAGCTGACTTTTACCGCAACATGCACCGCGAGAATTAGATAATGAGTTAAGAAATAGTGCCGCAGCTGGGCAGGTGCATTGTTTGGCTTCCATGTCGAAAGTTTCATCATACCACGGCACGGAAGAAAAAGCAGCTACTCTGAATCCATCGATCCGTACCCACACCAATTGGATGATGTATTATGAGTAACCCAACTGAAGCGATCTTTAGATGTAATGTAACACGTATTTTAGTCGATAACCAACGAAACAAGCCAACGTAACAAACTTATTTAATAAATTCACACGGAAACACATGGCTAAACGTCATTTATTATGAGGGTGCAACTGTTCAATTGGATTACGACCACATGCACACAATAATACAACGCAGCTGTCTGTCGTTAATGAATAGGTGCATTTGTTATATCTCATATTCGCCTTGAAGACCAAAAATTTCTCAAGAAACTTTTTGGGCACTGCATTGTTCGCATAATACAAGTCAACAAACATAAAGAAACGTATGGATGGTATAAACGTATAAAGAACCAATAGTAAGGAATTTATGTACAATCACGATTGTACCAGATGTCGGTGCACGTGTTCGCGCAGATGTGCAGGACCGTTACAATTGGTACGGTCATGTACATGTCCTGCATACACAGCAGTTAAATGCGTTATACCAAGCCTAAACCCAGCTGACGCAAAATGGGTTTGGAAATATTAACTGACACTATTGCAAATGTTCGATTGATATTACGATTTTTAATAGATTTTGGGGCTCGGCCAAAACCACACGTGCATTCGGGACATTTTGAACCTAATAAACACTTGGGTCGCAATAACAATTCATGACTAATAATCCACAGCTGCATGAACGAAACCAACAAATGTTTAAACGACCAATTATACCAAATTGACGGTCGCTAGAGCTTCCTTAACTCTGAGGTATGACAATAAAATAAAAATTAACCTACCGTTGAATGTAACACAGATGATTCACTCGATAGGATAGTATTAGGACTCGCCCGAACTCCTAAGGGCTGTCGAGGATTGGTGGTTCCTTGGGACTTTTTCTGACTGAGAACGGTAGCAGCATCAAAAGTGTTGACGGCAGGATGAGTTTCAAGGGCGCTTTGGAGATCGCAAATGTAATCAATCACGTATTGAATGACTTCCAACTTTGACAACTTTCGGTTTTTTGGCATGAAAGGAACTAAATCTTTCAGTTTGCTGAGGTACATCTGGATCTCCTCGTTTTCAATGTCCTTCTTCGTTTTGGTCACTTTCCCATTCACAACACTGGGAATGTTGTTTTCGGCGCACACACTAACTGATTTCATGTTTACTAATTTGTTTAGAGGACTTGGAAAAATACTCACAAATCTCGCACTCGTACTCGATTAACTAGCGGATGCAGATATACGACAAAAACTCCGAATCAAAACAGTCAGGAGCTGCGGACGACGCAGCTTTAAGTAGACATTTCAAGGGAGGGGAGACCAATGAAAATGGGCGCCACTTATGTAGGCGGAGTTCACCAATAGTGATTCTAAAAGAGTCGGCTCAGGTAAATTGGAGGCGCCGGAATTTCCTCGGGCGTACCGGCTGCCAATCAAGGGGGCGCCGGTTGAGCTTTGCGCCGAGGATTCAGGATGCGTTTTTCCAGGACGAAGCGCGTAACATGGGGGAAATCTCACGATAAATTAGTTACACCTGTTGTTACGAGTCATTGTAAGCCTGCCAAAAGTTTAGATGTTCAGGAACATGTGCTCTAAGAAGAAGAGCAGCGGGTGGAGACTGTTATTGATGAAAACATGCAACAACCTATTTTTGTTACTAAAATAAAATTATGAATAATTGGGCAGTCACCAGCAGCAATGGTATTTACACAAATAGACACTTGCACGCATCCGTATAAATTAGGATGCTTTATTTTCTGTGTAAAATCACAGTTTGCGCGACAAAAGTGACTGAAACTGTCTAGACAAATACAGAGTGTTATTTTGATAGGTACGTGTGTACATGAGACGACTGTTTTAAATCACTCCCAAGACGAATAAAAGTACACTAATTTACGAATAAACATTAAGATATATACACAAAGTCATCAGAAACAACACACATTGACAATACAAAAATGGTATTTTCGGAAACCCTCTCTTCCGGAATATAATCATTCAACAGATGCAATTTTAATGGGGCATAATAATGCATAAGAAAGGGTGCATTTAGACACCTCATCTAAATAACTAAAGAAAAAAGGAGAGTATAACCTAGTATCCAAAACAGCAGTCCCCAAAATTTTTTGGTTTTATTTTCTTATTGTGCTTTTAAAAGTGAAGAGGTATTAAAAAGAATAGAACAGAGGATTCTATGGAAGTCAAAAAAAATAATAAACGAGATAGGTTGGTAGGACACCTTCTCAAGCATGAAGGTCTAGTCAGAAACATATTAGAGGCAGAAACGGGAGTTAGGAAGGGTAAAGGTAAACCTAGATTAGATTACTGTTCGCAAAGAGTTAAGGATGTGGGTTGTTCTCGTTGTAAGGAAATGCGAAGATTAGCTCAGGATAGGAAAGAGTCGAGGTGCGTGACCAATCAGTCTTAGGACTGACGACCTTAATATGATGTACGTTTAAGTTAGTGATTACCTACTCATGAGTATATTGAGCAAATAAACCCACTACCTAATCGTTAGTTAATCAAGAAAATGAGGAAAATTACAAACTGTTGCAGCGTGCCTAGACTTTACTAATACTTAGACAGTATTTGAACCCAATAAACTAGGTGCTACCAAATGAATAACTACGCATTTCCTGTTGTTGTTTATTCACATTTAAAAAAATAGTGCATCTGAACAAACAATAATACCTTCATAATTAGTACATTTGAAATTCGTTAAGTTCACAAATTGAAACTAAGTGCACGTGTGATGTGTGGATATAATTTTTGCCAAGTTAGCAATCAACAGGTGTGCGACCTTAAAATGCTTTTAAACAATGGTATTTGTGTACGTAGTGACACTCACCCATGTATGGTAATCTAATAGGCACATTAATTAATCTATCATAAAGCTTACTTATACATTTTATAGTAAAACTGTTTAAAAATAGCAATCATTACCCAATCAGTTGGTGTATGTATTAGGTAAAAAGTAGGTAAGTACGTTAAGGAAAATTAGGAAAATCGCAATTTATCAAAATGGATCTATCTATATATAAGCAGTAAGTAGAGAACAATAACTTTGTCGTGTAGTATTAAAAGTAAGGAAAGTTGGAACAAATAAACATACGAGGGGTGTTTAATAAGTAATTCAATTTGATATTAAAGAAAACAGTCATACATTTTATTTTTCAGTCCCGTCAAATTTCCAGGCACTTGCTCCTATGCCAGCCCCAATAATTCTTACTTAGGTAGCATTAGCGGGCATGGAATTTGAATGTACCGGTGCGTTGCATCTTCTCAGTTTCTACTCTTGGAGGTGGAATGGAACCTCCCTTGACATATATTCTATTAAATAACACCTTTTTTTACTAATTTTCTCAATAGTTTCTCTGCTAATCAAAAGTACTCCCCGATCCTAGTAGCCATCAACTTTTCATTGGAACAAACACATTTCACCATCTTTAGAGTCAGTTCGTCATGCCCGATTCATAAACTGTCTTTCGTTTAATAGCGTTTCTTCAACAACGCCAAAGTTCCACTGAATTCTTCTCAATTGCTTTGGCATGAGTATTAAATGCGACATTCACATTTTGCGTAAACATTATTCAACTGCAGTTCATTATGCAAAACGAAGTGAACCCGAAATGAATCAGGATGTGGTATATCATCGTTGGATCTGCCCCGCTTAAAATTAAATTGATAGTTTTGCCCAAAGATTTAAAAGAAACTCAAATTGTAAATATGTTGTGAACATTTACATTGAATTGCGAACAATGTTGTGGTTGTGTTCAAAGACAGAAACTACATCCTCATATAGGGATCGTATAACGTATATATTTGGACAAGAGTCCCCTGCACTGCTTGAACTTTTTCATCAGCGTATACCATATCTGATATGTTTTTTCAAAATTATTATTATTAAGGGCATTTTCTTATCAACATTATATACCTATTTCCTATAAAATCGGAGATGATTCTATAGTGGCATTGCTTTAATTGAAGGAGATCACTGTTTATTGCTAAATTGGATTATTCATTCGAATTTTTTCAAAACATGTGATCGGTTTCACAATAGGTCAAGGAGCTTCAATGATCCTGTATTTTTTGAATACATACCTAAGTTATATATATATACAATGACATTAACTTTTGTTGTCTACATTTTAATACGACGAGTTCACGTGTACTTACAATTAGAGATAATACAAACTTGGGTACTGGGTAGGCAGTAACGATAATCTTTCTGTAGAGTCGATAAAGACCAGACTAAACATCAGGTAGAATTATTGCACTCATTTATAATCAAACATGAAGGAGGGTCGTTGACGTTTGCATTTGTTCATTATCGGAAATATGTACTTCTATATTTTCACGATCAGTTACAAGGTTTTATGGGATCAATTAAGTTACCATGTCTCATCATCATCATAAGGTCATCAGTCCTAAGACTGGTTGGACACTCACCTCCACCCTTTCCTATCCTGAGCTAATCTTTGCATTTTCCTAAGACTAGAACATCCCACATCATTAACTATTGTTGAACAGTAATATAATGTAGGTCTACCTCTACTTCTCTTGGTGTCTTACCAACTTATCTCGCCTATTTCTTATTGACTTCCATAGAGTCTTCTGATCTCCTACTCTTTCTAATACCTCTTCATTTCTAACCTTCTCTATCCACTCTATCCACGGTATCAAGTAACTTCTTTTTATTGAAAGCGACTCGACCCTGCTCTATTGTCTGCTTTATATCGTTCTACTCCTTTCGTCCTGACTTATCTGACTTCCTAGATACCTAAAATCAGCCACTTCTTCTATCTTTATATTCGCTCATTTCCTACTTTTTCTTCCCTTGAATACCAGTATTTTTGTTATTTTACTTTTATTTATTTTCGTATAATACTGTTTTGTCAATACCACTTCCATTTTATTTAAAATTTCTAACTCCTCCTTGCTAGATGCTTATACTGCTATATCATCTGCAAATCTAAGCATACTAATCTTTTGCCCCTATATATCTATTCCATTTTCAATTCTTAATTACTTGTTGAAATTTTACAGTATCACTTATTAAGTACATTGTGTATATATGTATACCAATAAACCAAATTGGAGCTGTCAGATTAGTTAGTAAATATGAAAATATTTGTCAATCCACAGCTGGCTCTGAGATATCGAGTTACGAGGGTGGATTGATAAGTTTCCGGCCTGACCAAGAAAAACAAGGTTTTTAAAATTTTTTTTTTTTTATTTCTCAACATAATCTCCTCCAAGGCTGATACATTTCTCATAGCGGTGTTCCAGTCTATTAATGCCATCTCTATAGACTGATTCGTCAAGCTCCTCAAAATAACCATTTACAGCTTCGATTACTTCTTCATTGTCCGCAAATCTCTTACCGCCAAGCCATTTTTTGAGATTAGGGAACAGAAAATAGTCACTCGGGGCTAGGTCTGGAGAGTAAGGAGGGTGCGGCATCAATTCAAACTTTAGATCGTTGATTTTAGCCGTCGCAACGATTGACGTGTGCGCTGGTGCGTTATCGTGATGAAACAAGATTTTTTTCTTCGCCAGATGAGGTCGTTTAATTTTCACCTCGTGGCTCAAACGTTGCAATAAGTCTGCGTAGTATTGACCAGTGATAGTATTACCCTTTGCAAGGTAATCAATGTATATAATACCTCTTGCATCCCAAAAAACAGTAGCCATAACCTTGTTCGCCGAAAAAATTGTTTTTGCCTTCTTTGGAGTTGGTTCCCCTGGTCCAATCCACTGTTTAGACTGTTCTTTGGTTTCAGGAGTGTAGTGGTGGACCCACGTTTCGTCAACGGTTACGAATCGACGCAAAAATTCGCTTGGATTACGCTTATACAATGACAAATTTGCGGTAGAAATGTTTTTTCGAATCAATTTTTGGTCGACTGTTAGCAAACGCGGCACCCATCTTGCACAGAGCTTTTCCATATGCAAATGTTGGTGCAAAATATGTTGCACACGTTCATATGACATCTTACAGGTCTCAGCTATCTCACGCACTTTCAATCTGCGGTCTCCCAGCACTATTTGATGAATTTTTTCGATCATATCTGGAGTTGTGACCTCAACGGGGCGTCCTGAGCGAGGCCCATCAGAGGTGCTCACACGACCCTTTTTAAACTCGGAAACCCACTGCTTAACGGTTGAATATGACGGGGAGGATGTCCCCAGTGTTGAGTCCATCTCTTTTTTAATTTCCTTCGGCGTTAACCCCTTCAAATAAAAGTATTTGATGACAGCACGATTTTCCTGCTTTT